TATTTTTTTTAATATATATTTTATTGATTTTTTACAGAGAGGAAGGGAGAGGGACAGAGAGTCAGAAACATCGATGAGAGAGACACATCGACCAGCTGCCTCCTGCACACTCCCCACTGGGGATGTGCCCGCAACCAAGGCACATGCCCCTGACTGGAATCGAACCTGGGACCCTCCAGTCCACAGACCGACACTCTATCCACTGAGCCAAACCGGCCAGGGCTGTGGTGTTTATTTTTAAATGGCCAGTACGTGTCATGGCAGCTCCTGCATTGAGCGTCTGTCCCCTGGTGGTCAGTGTACGTCATAGCTACCGGTCGGAAGGATGGACACTTAGCCTTTTATATGTATATATAGGTATTTCATTATGTTACAATAAATCATCTATAAGATGGTTATTTTGATATAGTGTAAGTGGTATATCAGAATTTCCTTTTTCACTTAGATCTTAAAAGAATATTAGAAGTGTGATAACACAAACATCCAATTAGGTTCTTATTAGTCACTGGGAAAACACACAAAATAATCAAGTGTTCTAAGGCATGTATAGGGCCAATAATTTAGAAATTTTCACCATTTTGAGGTACCATGATTTTAATAAATATAATAACAACTGTTGGAAATGGGGGCAAGGTGAACAAATAGACAATAAATTGTAGACTTTTATAAACTATTTGAGAACGTATTTTTTAAAATGATATACGAAAGGAATTTACTTATTTAAAAAAAGTCATTGCTATCCTGGTAAGTTTCTTAAAAAAAATAACTTACCTTATATTTAAAATGTAGCCATTTATACAGTTCTTGAAGAAATTAGCAGTAATATAAAAAAAATTAAAAGGCAGTTTTTCAGGGTTAAATGAATCTGCAACTCCAAAACAAACAGGCATGTTGAAATTAACTCAGGAAACGTGACTTTCTGTTCCAGTGGGTCAGTAGTTTATTAATTTTATAGAGGTTTGGAAGAATTAATGAATATCAAAATAGTAAATTTAACTCACTCAGCCATAGGATCTGGCACAGTAATTAGAAGAAACTGGTCTTTCAAAATTTCTTGCCTCTATTACTTTCCTTTTCTTAATCTTGCCTCTCACTTAGCCATACATAGTTATAAAAGATACGCTCTGAGCCAGGATTTATAATGGCATGAAAGCTACATACTTTAGATAAAATAAAAAAGAAGGGAAGGGGTGATTTGGTCCTATCTCCATAACTGTTATAAAGAGAACTTAATGTATGCATTTGTTTTTCTTAGATATATTTCTATTTTACTCCTAATACCAAAGGAGCCCTTCCATTTCACATTTTCCTATGAAGTACTTTTTAGTTTTTTGATGTGACTAAGTGGAAACTGTGAATTTTAAAGTGCATTTCACTGTACACTAACCGCCTGCATCCAACCGATCTGCAGCAGCCTGGCGCCAGACGCAGCCTCCCTGGTGCTTACACAGGGTGAGGATGAAGGCGCTTGACAAGAGGCCTCTACGCGGAGTGTTTTCTGAGCTCTTCTCAAAAGCCCATCCTAGATTATTTAGTTGACGGATTACCCTTCTCTTTCCTTCCTCTGCCTGATGCTTTGCCCATTTCATTTTCTGCCAAGTCCTCCAGAAGAGACGGCAAGGGAAAGAAATAAAAATGAAACCCATTAATTTTCAATGTCCACAATGAGTCAATTACATCATCAATCATTATGGAATACTGACCATTTTTCTGGATCATTTTCCTTTAGCAACAAAATTCTTTTAGTCTATACTTTACAACTAGCATTGTCTATGAGAATGCACAGTTTAAAAAAAATACTTAAAGAGCTAATTAACACATTTCCAAAAATATTCAACATAACTATAGACATAAATGGACATTTTCTTAATTATTATAAATCTGTGCCCGATGGAACCACATTTTGTAATTACCTGTATTTGGTAATAATTCATGAAAGATCTTCCATCACTACTAGGAATGGCCACAAGCTGGGGGTACAGCTGATTCAATGAGAATTATGTAGCCATTTGGGCCACTGAAAAGTATTAAAAGCTATTTCCAATAACCATTGTGGACAAAAATGTGAACAAGATAATACAATATTTTGAAAATATTTTAATATTTGCCATTTTTGTTGCTTGTGCTAATAATATATACATTGATTTAGCAATAAATATACTACTGTTACATAGAGTGCAATATTTTTAGTATTCATAATTGGTTGAAATTAATGCTGCATTATCTCAATAAATGAATAAATAAATATCACACCCAAATTCCAAACTAATGCTCCAGAGGTTATCATTAACAAAAACGAAAAGAAATGAATTGGGATTTATCTTTTAAGCATGATTCCTGTAAACATAGCCAAGATCACCTTTCTCAGTCCTAACATTTCGTGTGATAGCTTTAAAAGAAAACAGAACATACAAATTCTACCACTTCTTTTTTTGCATAGGAAATGAATTAATCATATTTGTAAATGCAGCAATCTCTCAGTAAAATGTCTTCATCACAAAGCGCTTGTTTTGTGTATGAATTCAGAACTTTTGAGCAATAAAAGTGCTCTGCATAAGTTTATAAAATATGCTTTCTGGATTCAAAATTTAACAGGAAAATTTCCAAATAAGTCATAGTTATGATTTTAAAATATTATGTACATGATATCCAGCCACAGGAGGAAATGCCTCACTGTAGACAACACAGTGTACAAATATAAAGCACAGTGTTGAACAGAATTTCCCTTTAGCTTTTCCTCACATCGGTGCCTGCGTGGCTGATGGTGACGTTATGCCACACGGCTCATGCTACTTGTTGCAAACAAGGTAGAAGGGGGTGTGAGGACAAATTTAAAGTAGATAACGAAAAAAAAAATGGCAAAAATACAGTACATACGCTTTAACCAGTGCACTTTATAAAATAGTTCGCTTTATTCATATTCTTTTATAAAGTGCAATGTTACCTAAAACAGAGACATGTACCTTAATGGCTCGCAATACCATTGAACAAACTGCCAGGACAGAGCAGTGCAAAGTGAGAAACACGGAGCTGAGCATGCACTCAGTTGGGCCCCAAAGACAAAGCCCGGGGCCATGAGTCCTTATAGCTTTTCTTTTACTTTTTGAAAAAGATTAATAGTAGGTTATCATCATATGTAACCATAAAATAAAGACAATAAGTTAAAATCCTTGTTCAGAAATAAGTATATGCCACACATAAAATTCATTACAGAATCTTTTTTAAAACAGACATTTTTTCTCTGATAAATCCCTGTTGAAAGGGTGCAAATCTCTTAAAAGCCCACATTATCCACAAGGCGAAGCAGAAGGTGTCGCCACAGTAGGAGTAACTTGCTGGCAGACAGCTGAAAGGCCTGTGACTACTCTGCAAGCAGTTCGAATCTGGCCAGCCCCCAATCGCATTTATAGGGGCCTCTGCTCCTTCCAGAACCGTCCTGCTGGCACCAGGTAGGTCACTAAACCGTGTAACCTGTGCTTCATTCACAGTAACGTTCTCTGCCCAGTGCTTTGTTCTCTGCCCAGTGCATTAGGACAAGGATAACAGTGGGTTTTCCTGAAAAAATTCCCCAAGAGGCAGATTCCAATGAGACCAGCGGGACTTGTTTTTCTGTTTGGTTGGTGGTTATTGTTTTTGTTTTTTTGGCTCATTCAGGATATTTTATTTTCTTAAAGTAGACAAGCTTTGACTTTGACGAAACATCACCTCAGGCATCGCCGAGAGAGCAAAAGTGCCGTTCAGTCCGAGAACTGGAAGAGGGGCTCGGGGTTATTGCTGTCGGCAGGGTTGCTGGGCTGCAGTGCCTTTGTGGGGGTGGTTTTACCGTGAGAGTGAGAGGACGAAGAATGGGAGCTCTCGCTGGAGCTGCTGCGCGTCTCCGTACTGGTGCTGGTCTTTTTCATCTTCCTTCTCTTAGCCAGAGGGGCCTTGTCGACATTCTGAAGGCAAAACCCCTCTCTCTTGTATTTGTTAAAGGCCTAGGGGAGAGAAAGAAGGGAACCCCGATGAAGGTACAAGGATTGAAGATTCCTTGGCAATTATGACTTATAGCAGGAGGCGACTTTGGTTGTCAACCAATAGCTCCAAGTTGTTTGGGGAACAAAGTCCTAAAACCATTGTATCCAAACCTCCTGTGGGGTACAGAGTTCACGGGGTGATGGCTGAGAATGCTGCTTAAATCAAACTAGCGTGGCTGTCCGGGAGTCAGGATTCCCATACATCATTTGAAGAAGTTAGCGCTACCTCTCAATAAGAAACACTGACTGACTGGAAATTCCTGAAGACTATCAGCAATCCAACACACCCCTCCCCACACCCCACAGCTGCTACCCCCATTACTCTACAGTTCTGTGTCTGAGATTTAAAATTCTGACCACAAAGACCCAACACAAAATAGACTTAATCCTTTATGGGCCCCTGCTCTCCACTTTCAAGTCAATGCAATTGGGCGTTATCTTGGCCAGTTAATCTACACCGAGGAGACCAGGGCTACACACCCCAGGCCGGCTTTAGCCTCTGGGCAGCCTGTCTTCACTTTTCTTAGCCTCAAGCTCTGGCATGGCTGCGTTGCCCCTGACAACCTTGCATCCTGTCACTGAGAAGCTATGGATCATCTGCTACAAATTCTTGCAGTTAATCTCTTTATACCTCACCTTATCCTAGTTCATTAACTTTTAAATCAATTTCTGCAGCTGAGAGGAAGCGCTATCCCTCCTTTCTCAAGATAATCCCTTCAGAGGTCACTGTATTTCTCCTTCACTCACTCACCCCTTAGACAACTAGCTGAATGTGTTTGCATCTGCTGGGCACGAATGTGCGGCTCCTGCAATGCCGGCTCAGCCTTTCAAACACAATCAGTGCCGAATGCCCGTACCTACTTCTTATCCTTCACGGTCTCTAGAATATATGAGGCCCAAAAGGGTTGCTGAATGAACGAATTTTCACGGGTGCCTTAGTTCCTAGTGTTTATCGTTTTAAAAGAAAATGATTTTGCTTATTTGAGAGAAGAAAGTCCTAGTAGTAGGTACATGGTTTTCATCACCTACAGGAAATCTTCAGCTATTCCAATACCGCCCACTGCCTGATCTCACACACACTCCCAACGTCCAGGAAGGGCACTGTGGGTTCGCAGTGACTGGCCCCAGGCACTTGCTGTTTGTAAATGTGTCTGTGTCCTGACATTAAAAGGACTCTTATTTCTTATTTTAACTGTTATTACTCAGAGTGCGTCTCGGAGATTATCGGGTATCTGATTCCTTTCAAACCCCACACTGCAGAGCACAGGCCCTTACGTGGAAGGTGGCCTTCACGCAGGTGTGCACGGCGGCTCCTGAAGACCCCAGGATGTCGGGAGTCATCAGAGGGTTGGAGGACAGCTGACTGCCGTCTTGGAGCCATTCATTGTATCTCAGGCCAGACATTTTAAGCCTTTTATTTGGATCAACTGTGAGAAGTCCTGTGGGAATAAACAAGACATTTTTATTTTGTGATTTGCCATTTCAAACAGTTTAAAATCAACCTCAGATATAAATCTCAATTATGTTCACATGACAGGATGGTTTCTATAAGGCTTCAACCTCCTACAAAAATAATTACCCTTTCATATGCTCTTAAATGCCCTAGTGAGCACTGGATGCTAATGAGAAAGCCCACAACAGCCTATTTCTAGGAGGCTGTGGGCTAACTGACTTTTCAATCAGGAGAAAATAGCCACCCCAACAAAGACTCCCCAGGGTGACCGGGTAAACTCCGAATGAGGAAAGAGCTAGACCTCCTTCACGCCTGTACCAGCACCTTCTCTAACTCAGGGGGTGTGGTCAGGCCCAGAGAAGTGGAAGTGAAGACTCAGAGGAGTTCTGAGGAGGCACGAAGACAAGCCCCAGCTTTCACACCACCGGGGACCATGTGCAGGAGGCCATGCCGAGGGAGGGCTCAGCCGAGGGAGCGTGGGCCCCTGGGAAACTTCCAGAAGACAGGTCCTGGGGAATGAGAGAAGTGGGCTCAATGAGGAGGGGTGCCCAGGGATTAAGAAGAGCTAGTGCATAGGAACGCGGGGTGCAGGGACCCAGAAGCTCAGCACAACCGAGGAATCAAGTGTTCACAACAACAGAGGCAGGCAGGGCCCGGTCGTGAAAGGCCTGGAGTTTTCAATGTGCTGTGATGGGGCATGACCTGAGGTTAGTGGATTCTCTGAAGGATTTTTAACAGAGACATGAGCACATCTGGACATTAGGAAGGTCACTCTGCCGATCGATGATGGGCAGGTGATGTGAGAGGAAGTGAGACAAGTTGAAGAATGTTGTAGGATCTTAGGAGAGAAATGGTGATGAGGACTAACGGGGCGGCCACGTGAAAGGGGAGAGGGGTGGGAGGAGGGATGCTGAACCCGCAGGAAGCAGTGACTGGCTGTGGAAGGCGAGGAAGGCTGGGAGCTAGTAGGTGTCCGGCTTTCTGTTTTGGTGGCCTGGCTCCTTGGCAATGCAAAAGAGGGAGATGTGAGGAGGCACACATTTGGGAGAAAGGAGAGTAAAAAAGTACAGGTTCGGCCCTGGCCGGTGTGCTCAGTGGTTAGAGCTTTGGTCTGCACACAGGAGGGTCTCAGGTTTGATTCCCAGTCAAGGGCAAGGACCTGGGTTGCAGGTTCAATCCCCAGCCCCGGTTGGGGTGCATGCGGGAGGCAACCAATCAATGTGTCTCTATCACACATCAATGTTTGTCTCTCTCCTTTTCCCTCACTCCCTTCCACTCTCTAAAAATCAATGGAAAAAATATCCTTAGGTGAGGTTTAACAACAACAACAAAGAGTGCAGGTTCGATGTGGAGGTGCCAGACTGGGATGCTGGTGGATCCAGGTGCTAGTTCGTGTGGAGACAGTGGATAGGATCACTGAGGGAGAATGTTCTGATAAGAAGAAATGGCACAAGACAGCAGCCTGGAAGCCTTTTAGAACACACAGACTCCTTGAGTAATGAACAAACATATGTGTAATGGCATGACTCCACTTCAATCTCTGCACAGCGCATAACAAAATTTCCTTAGATTCTTACCTTGGATCAGATCTTTAGCTTCTTGGGATACATTCTTCCAGGCTTCTCCTTCAAAGGAGAAATCTCCCGTTTTGATTTTCTTCATGATTTCCACTGCACTGGTGCATGTCAAACTTTTGTCATGAGACTGGAATGGAACTTGCCCAGACAACATTGTATACTATCGAGAAAAAAAAGAAACAAAGAATGTTTCAACAGTTTATTATGAATGGCATTAATGGGTTTAAAAGATTATGTGGTTTCTATCGCTGAAACAACCAACACCTTTCAAATACTTGTAAATAAAGAGGAATGACTTATTATGACATCAAGATTTAAAACCATTTATTTATAATAATAAAAGCGTAATTTGCTAATTAGACTGGACGTCCTTCTGGACAAAGCCGGGTTCCAGGTGCCAGAGGGAAGCCGGTGCCGGCAGCTGGGGAAAGGAAGACCTACTCTTGCACGAATTTTGTGCATCGGGCCTCTAGTATAACTATATTCAGAACAAGAATGAAAAAGGGATACTCTGTTTGAAAAAGAGGGTGTTAAGGTTAACAGAAAATTTAAAGACAGCAGAACCCTGAATAACTATTTTTTCTATCCAATTCCATAGCCTTTCCTTAGGATATTAACTATGGATAAGAACTTAAAAAATTTTTTATTTGGCCTTCTTTATTTTGTTTGTAATTATCCCAATTTTAATTTTATTTTTCTCATTGTTGGGTTAAATGTGATCAACTCTCTACAGTCACCTTATTTCATTGTAGCCACATTTGAAATTTTACATGAAAGATCAAAAGTCAATAGAGCCCTGGCCGCATAGCTCAGTTGGTTAGAGTGCTGTGGGTTGATGCCCGGTCAGGACACATATAAGCAGCAACCAATGAATGCATAAAAAGTGGAACAACAAATTGACGTCTCTCTCTCAAAATAAAATAAAATAAAATAAAATAAAATAAAAAGTCAACAGGAAGACCAAAAAGCTAAGTCTTGTCTTTGTAGCAAAGACTGGATTTTTGAAAGGCTACAGAAGTTTAAGACCCTCCTTAAACTTCTTGGAGGGTCTGCTCTCAGCTTGCTGAACGACTTACAGGCTTGCAGGGGTGAAGGGAGCTGCAGACGGCGGTGGGCGGGCTGGTAGTTAGGTAGTAACCATGTCTGTGCACAGACCAGAGAACCACGTGGTGAGAAGGGTGGTAGTGCCAGTTGGTTGGGAGGGACGCTGAGAGCAGAGCCCTAAATAGGAGGCATGGAGCTGTAGAAACTCCCAGCGACTAGGAGCAACAGCCTTTTTTCTTCCCTGGTCATCTGTCTGACAAGCAGGCGCACTCTCATGTTAGCAAAGATGGTGAAGCAGTTCTGACACGCTGGCTCTCAAGAAAGATGGAAATTCCCAGGCAAGGTGATAAATCTATATATATAAAAGCCTAAGCATCCGACCGGTAGCTATGATGCACAATGACCACCAGGAGGCAGACGCTCCTACCAGTAGCGATGACACGCACTGACCACCAGGGGGCAGACACTCAACGCAGGAGCTGCCAAGCTGCAGTGACTTGGCAGCTGCGGTTCTCGGGTGACACAGCCGGAACCAGAGAGGAGGGAGCCTGATTCCAGGGTGTGTCACCCGAGAACTGCCCTCTTGCAATCTGGGACCCCACAGGGGATGTCGGAGAGCCAGTTTTGGCCTGATCCTTGCAGGTCAGGCCGAGGGACCCCACTGGTGCATGAATTCGTGCATGTGAAAAGCAGCTCTGCTGAGGAAGGACAGTAAGAAGGTAGGACAATTCCCTGGCGAGTGGAATGAGGGAACAGGAGACGAAATAGTTAAATAAGGCTGAGCAATTAACAGCCTGCTAATAAATTGCAAGATCTTATCTTCTCTAACCAAAGACACTTAGGAGCAAATAGTTTACACTTCTCCTCCTCAATCAGACAGTGAGTAGCTTAGATCACCCTGGTCAGGAAGAGAGATCACAGAGACCCAGTTGGTGCCATTAGTCCCAGCCAAACCCAGGATGGATGAAGTCAGGGGAATAAATATCAAAAAAGCCCAGTTAGAGACAGACAAATCCAAGATAACAATAAAGCAGTGAAGCTGACCAGAAAAGGATCCCTACTCCCCTATCTGCTCATTTTGATGCATCAGCGTATTAAAGGACACACCTGGCAAACTACTGAATATTCTGCTGAGACCCTCCCCTGAGAACTCCCCTAAAACTCCCACCTTTAGAAAAGAGGTAAGAACCCTCAAGACAAAGGACCCTGTGTGCTCTCTCTTGAGCACACCGTGCACCCCTTTCCTCAGGCGTGTACTTCTGCTTTCTTTCTCCTAAACTCTAAGGGTCCCCATGAGACTTGCAACCAGGGGAGCAGCAGGCAGCAGCAGCTCATCTGTCCTACAGTTTCTAAATGCTGTGTCATACACTGAATGTGTGTGCCTCCAAAATTCATATGTCGAAGACCCAACCCTCTGTGTGACTGTATTTAGAGAAAGGGCCTATATGGAGGTAATTTAAGTTAAATGAGGTCATGGGGTGGGGTTCTGACTAAACAGGAAGTGTGTCCTTTCCAAAAGATGCACCTAGAGCTTGCTCACTCTCCCTGAGGACGAGAGGAAAGGGTATGTGAGGATACCCCCATGCTGGCCCCTGGACAGTGCACTTGCCAACCCCAGAACTGTGAGAAAGTAAGTGCTGTCTGCAGTACTTGTTATGGCAGCCCCGGGCAGACCAGGCAGTGGGTAAGCTCTATGCTAATTAATCCTGCACGTCCATGAGGTAGACTGGGTTGCGATCAAAGCCACATGTGATGCACCTTCCTGAAGTATTTGTTTTAGTCAGTGGGGGTAACAGAAATTATTTTCATATTAAAATATCCGCATCCATATTTGCTAGATGCAATATGCAAAAGGACCATAGATTTCTAAGGCAAATCAGGAGACTCCAAATAAGCTTTGGGCTTGCTATGGGATAATTCAGGCTTTGTCTCGGATCTGCAGGAGATATGCATTCATTTATGTGGAAACATTTGCAAAGCACTCTTTTTTCTTGACAATTTAATGCAGGTGTTCACTTTATTTTTCATCTGTGTTTCATTATGCATCTCTAAAAGGCAAGGATTTTTAAAAACCACAATCACAACACCATTATCTACCTAAAAAAATTAGCAGTGATTCCTTTGTACAATTCCATATTCAAATTTCTCCAATTATGTTATATGCCCTGTATATTATAATCACATCTGTATGAGTTAGCTTTAGGTTGAATTTAATAAATAGAATTGAAATTAGAATTTGCTTGAATCAGAATTCAAGTAAAATGCAAACACTGTTTCTTATCTTTTAAAAAATCTTTATTGTTGAGCCCTAGCCAGTTTGGCTCAGTGTATAGAGCGTCGGCCTTTGGACTGGGGGGTCCCGGGTTCGATTCCGGTCGGGGGCACGTTCCTTGGTTGCGGGCACATCCCCAGTGGGAGGTGTGCAGGAGGCAGCTGATCGATGTTTCTAGCTCTCTATCCCTCTCTCTTCCTCTCTGTAAAAAATCAATAAAATATATTAAAAAATATCTTTATTGTTGAAAGTATTACAGATGTCCCCTTTTAAAAGTGTCATTTAATCTATAAGTTCCCACGCTATTTTTCTTATAATTTATTTGCTGGAGAAACGGGGTTGTTTGTCCTGTGGAACTGCACACAGTCTGGATATGGTGACTGCTTCCCTGTGGCATCATTTAACCACTTCTCTGTCCCGTTTCTCTTAAAAACCTGTGAGATCTAGAGAGAAGCATGGCTTCTGTCCATACCATCACACAAAGTTGTTTCCATAGAGACAGCATTCAGAAGCTCTAAGATGATATTTTAGAACCGTAAAAAGGATGATGATTTAATTGGCTTATATTTAAAGTAAGGTTCTTTTACAGGGGATAATCTTATATTATTACAAAAAAATGAAAGGTTCTTTTTTATTTAGACATATTTTTTTCAGGGGAGTGCTACTAATGTTTAAGTCCCTAAATAAAACTTTCAAGTCTATAGAAGCTAGTTGTTTATTTTTATTTTAAAAATCTGATTCATAAATTTTAGTTTGAAAATTATAAAGATGACTTAGAATTACTGAAATAAAACCCATGTGAAACTTAAACTAAAAGAGGAGCCATCCTGCAGGGACACCTGGCTAGCCATTAGGGGAAAGCAAGCTGACACCAAAATAAACCGCAGATGGAGTGCTGGTTAAAGTATAAAAATAAAATATAATTCTAGAGGGAAATTTAGGAGGATATTTTTATAATCTAGGGTTGGGGTAGAGTGACAATCTGAATCAGAGCAGGTTCCATAAAACAACAGACTGACAGATCTTACTACATAGAAATTTAAAAAAACCTTTTCTATTTAAATCCCTCTGAAAACAAAATTAAAATCTCATATTACTCTAAATAAAGTTGTGGAACAAAGGACAAACCAGAAAAACATTTCCAATATTAATGGCAGACAAAAGATTAAAAACCTTAACAGAGCTTTCAAATCCAGTAAGAAAAATTCCCCACAGGAAAGTGGACAAAGCTCACACACAGCAATTCCTAAGAGAAAAGTACAAATGTCCAGATACATGAAAAGATGCTTAGACAACATTCATCAGAGAAATGCATGCAAATGACAACAGCAGGAAACAATTTAAGACTGAAATTGATAGTCTTCCATGTATTTGCATATAGTTCGGAGAAGATACAAAAAACCTTCTGGAAGGAAATCCAGGCATAGATTTCAAAATAAAGATGTGTATACCCTTCTCCTAGAAATCTATTCTAAACAAATGGTGAGACAAATGTAAGCACATATATAAACAATATTCATGTGTATAGTTTAAAATTAGTGAAAAACTGGAAAATGCTAACTTCTCATTAGTAAATGGTTAAATAAACTTTTGAGACTCAAACTACGTGTATAATATCCTCTCATTTAAAAAAACCCAAGTATATATGCATGTCTATAGAAAAGCTTATAGAAAGACATAAGGGATACACAGCATGGTGGGGCGGGGGCAAGGGATTAGAGGGAGAGGGAGACCATCTCTGTGATGAGATTACCAGTGATCTCACTTTTTTCTTCTCTCTTTCTGTAGCCTCTGAAAATTTCTCCCTAGGATCATGCATTACACCAGTGGTTCTCAACCTTCTGGCCCTTTAAATACAGTTCCTCATGTTGTGACCCAACCATAAAATTATTTTCGTTGCTACTTCATAACTGTAATGTTGCTACTGTTATGAATCGTAATGTAAATATCTGATATGCAGGATGGTCTTAGGCAACCCCTGTGAAAGGGTCATTCGACCGCCAAAGGGGTCGCGACCCACAGGTTGAGAACCGCTGCATTACACATTATATGTATAAAAAGTAAAGCTATTTTGAAGAAAAAACACACCCAGATGTTGCTAGCTTAATGTTCCCTTTCTGATCACTGCAGCCAAGGACATTTTGTGAAAAGCATGCTGACCAGGATCACTATCAGTCACTATAAACATTTATAATTCTACTATTAACTTGTAATTTTTCCTAAATGATATTCTTTAATTACATCTTTAGTCTCAAAACCTCAAAGAATATATATATTCTCTCCTGAGAATATTTTTCTATTGATTTTGAGAAAGAGTGGAAGGGAGGGGGAGAGATAGAGATAGCGAAACATCGATGTGAGAGACATACATTGGTTGGTTGCCTCCTGCATGCGCCCCAACTAGAGGTGGGGATCGAGCCTGCAACTGAGGTATGTGCCCTTGACAGGAATCAAACCCAGGACCCTTCCGTCCGCAGGCCAATGCTCTATCCACTGAACCAAACAAGCTAGGGCTCAAAGAATATATTTTTACTGTTTTTCTATTGAGTCACTTTGCTATTTTCACATTATATCTAACATGCATATCTTTTGAAAATACACTGTCCTTCTAAAAACACAATATATAACTCTTTTATTCACACAAAACACAGCTGCCTTAAATATTTCAAAATAAACCAAAATCAAAATTCCTACATTTTCTCCAATGCAAATTTTAAGAAAAGGAAACAGCCTCCCGTCAGGCCTCTAACGGGAAAGAAACCAACTTGCCGATTTTGTCAGGACTTTAGGAAAACCAGCAGAGAGAGAGGCAGGTACAGAGGACATCTGCGAGCGGACTAGGCGCCAGGCTCCACTGGAATGCACTCACCAGAATGACGCCCAGGCTCCAGAGGTCGCAGGACTCGTCGTAGCCGTTCTGGTTCAAGAGCTCGGGGGCAGCGTAGTGGAGGGTGAAGCACGGGGTCTTGAGAGGCTGATTGTCAGGCGGCTTTAAGCGCGCAAACCCGAAGTCAATTACTTTAATTTCCAAGTTGTCATGTTCATCAGTGAACAGTAAATTCTGCAAGACACAAACGCTCACATCAGTCTCTCACTAAAACGTCACGGGGCTTGGTGATGCCATTTAGGTAAATCATGTCAATACTGGGTTCCGGCACAGAGAGGGTCTGACCGGGAGGGGCTGGGAGCTGGACCTCAGTGTGCTGTTGTTCCCTGCTCCGACATGTTTTGTGTTATTTCAACCTGACAATGTCACGGGAAACATTTGTCGACTGCATCGTGTCTCCTCTGACGTCAGAGCCTCTTCTAGGCTTTCCTGGAAGTCTGTGTTTGCGTTCTACTTTCTCCACCAACCTTCCTTCCAAGATGGCTCGCGTGAGCCTTTTCTCCATTCAGAGACACCACCCAGTCGTGAATTTGAGATGGAATGAAAATGGGAATATAATTACATAGTTACATGTAAGGCTTCACCACAATTGAAGTCACGGGTGGGGTTCACGGCTTGTACTTGAGAGCCGTCCTCAGCAGATGACTCCGGAGCTCCGCCCCCGGGAAGGCGCTGCACCTCACGCAGGGCAGGGAGACAAGCACACCTGGCCCCTGGTCATTGAGCTACTCGATCTCTGAGAATGACTTCAGCTTATTCCTTATCAAGAATGGCAGTGGACTCCCTGGATCTTAGTCCTGGAAATGGAGGGGATGTAGCATGTCCCTCTCTCCTCCTCTCCCAGCTCTAAGAGAAGTGGGGTGTCAACAGTCAGGAATGGGAGGGAATAACAATTCAATCTCCTTGTATCTTCGTCTCAAGCTCTGCCTGAAACGAATTTGATATAATTTTTCTTCATCTTTTAAGACTATGGGAACCAATTTCAGAAATACAAAGCAGCTTATAAGAATGTCAGCCAGCTTCTAAATTTATCTGATTCTCACCTAGAATTTAGGATTTTGCCTAAGCAGAAAATGAGTGCCACATAAATATCTACCAAGAGATACAGAATCAGATCTTAAAATGCTAAAACACTGGGAAAAGGATTAAATGCTTAGTTTGGAAATAATATACTCTTCCATTTAAAAGTCAAAGTGAAAGCTCTTTTGTTATGAAAATGTTAGTACAAAGGTACATTTTCATTTCTCTAAAAAATAATTTTGATTTAGAATTACAACTGTAGTAGAATATCGTAAATAATCTGACAAGTCTTCATTTCAAACGACTATGTGAGAGGAAAGTTTTCTAACAAAAGAATTAAGTATCAGTGAACTAGGAAGGCAAACTAAATCCTGCTGGAGGGACAGTTGCATCATTTGAGGCTCATGAGATAACAGATGGCCAGTTATCAAAGAATAAAACATGTGAAAACGAATTCTATACACTCATGGAACAGATCTTTTCAACCTAAGAAAATTACATGCTTGTTCCTTGTCTATCAAGAAAACATTTAAGTGGTGTGCTTTCACATTTAAAAATAGACAGCTAATCTCCAATGCACAGAGCGCCATATTTTCAGTGGGCGTTCTGTAGGAGAGTGAGAACTATGATGAAGAAAGCAGAGGGGTAGCTGTCATAGTTGCAAGTTCATAAAGCAAATGTAGTTTTGATGAACCACTAGTAATAAGAATAACAGTAATACTTAATACATAGACTGGCCCTGGCCAATGGGCTCAGTTGGCTGGAGCATCGTCCCGTACACTGGAAGACCACAGGTTCAATTCTCAGTCAGGACACAAACCTAGGTTGTGGGTTCAGTCCCCAGTCGGGGTGTGTACAGGAGGCAGTCGATGCATGTTTCTCTCTCACATCAATGTTTCTCTCTCTCTCTCTCTAAAAATCAGTGAGCATGTCCTCAGGAGAGGGTTGGAAAAAGAAATACATAGGCTGAAGTTTAAATACTTTAGAAATTGGTCAGTTATATTTGAATGCACATAATTTGATTTTTAAAAACATCCTCTTCATATCAATAATCCAAGATACTTAAATATAAGGCAAAAATGGTGTTTTTGAGAAATATTCTTTTGTGGTTTAACACAAAAAATAAACACCAAAAAATTAATTTTAAATATACTTAAAAATGCATTATAATCACACGGGTAATAAAAATGATGTTCCATTTTAAAGAGAAAATATGTACAATTTTGCATAGGGTAAAGGATGACTCATTGTTATTATTTTATAAATTACTGGGTTTTGCTTTTAAATTTTCATTATTATTTTGATGGTTTTCTGAAAGGGAGGAACTTTCTTACTTTTGATACTAAAAAGGGATCATTCTGTAGATAGAACCTTCTTAACCTTTTAATGAAAAGATATGTGAAAAAGCTGCTATTTCTGCACCGCTACACAGTTCTATAAGTACATGAGCAAAGAAGAGCACATATAAGGATGGTGTAACTGATTAAACCAAGATCATTCTTTGTGCTTAATATTTAGAACAGAATTATATACGTTCCTATTCATGAGCTAATTGATTTGATTACATATGTGAAAAATAAGCTTTCAAAATATACCACTAAAAACCCCCCTCTAGCCCGGCCAGTGTGGCTCAGTGGTTGAGCGTCTACCCATGAACCAAGAGATCACTGGTTCAATACCCGATCAAGGCACATGCCGGGGTTGCGGGGTTGATCCCCACTAGCGGGTGTGTATCAATGTTTCTCTCTCATGGATATTTCTATCTCTCTATCCCTCTCCCTTCCTATCTCTAAAAATCAATTTAAAAAAATATATAAAAATTGTTTAAAAAAAACCCTCTAAAATGGTATAGATATAGAGGGGATATTATTTTCTGCTACAAAAATTTCCATTGCTACTTTTAGTCCACAACTGTTGCATAAAGTATTTCTCCCATAAAAGGCTCTCACACTTACAAATATAACCTCAAGATGATCGGCGGGCAAAAAAAAAAAAAAAAGACGAATTTATTTTAGGCTGAAATAGAAAATAAAAAAATCCAAGAAACATGGTATTTCCAGGTATGTATTTAGCAGAAAGCCCTGAAAGTAAAAAAGCCCACACATCTGGGGGATAGTTAATAATGAGGCTGGATGGAGCAATGTGAGAGAATGTGTTCTTCTGTACCTCGGGCTTCAGGTCTCTGTGCACCACTCCGACGTCGTGCATGTGGCTCACAGCTGAAACCAGCTTCCGCATGATGTAGCTGGCTTCGGTCTCACTGAAGTGCTTCTTTTTCTTAATGCGTTCGAACAGCTCTCCCCCGTTCAGAAGTTCCATAACTAGAAAAGTGTGAAGCTAGAAAACAAAGAAGAAGAATGTGGAGGGCCTTAATGAAGAAAAATTTATTAACATATGAAACATTTATTGACTATAAACTATCACCAGTAAATTTAAATAATCCTTTGTTGCAGTCATCAACAGCAATCCTGTGTTTTAGAAGAAAGAGCTGAGGGGTACTGTGGCTTTTTTAGAATTCTATTTTGGTAATGGAAAATTTCAAGTACTGCAGTGCAGTCTTTATATATTCTTCTCTTGATGAATTCTTTCATTTGAATTTCATTCTCACCCTCTCTATCAAGTTTACATATCTTTCTTGTTAAAGTGTGATCTAGCCCTGATAATGTAAAATTGGCTGCTTTAAATAATATACAAGATTCCTGATAAAAGGCCTTGTTTGATGATGCCACTTTAAACCTCCTGTTAGGGCTTAACAGATAAGCTTTAGGGTTCCTGGCAATACCGATGGCCAACACCCATAACTTACTGTAGGTTGTTGTTTTTTAAATAACTGCTTTTGATCCAAATGGCATTATCTTAATTAGTTTAATCAGTTATATACTTACTAGGCTTTCCACAAAGAAAATAACATAGCTATCAAAAAGCAAAGGAATTATATTAGCCCTCAAATTAACACATATGGTTTTAAAAATATATTAAATCAATACTTCTAGCACCAATGTCACTCAAAAACCAAAATATTTATGTTTCCCTTTGAATTAGCAAAATCCAGAAAACTTGCTTCATAAAAAAGACAATTATAAATACATCATCTTGCACATATTGGGTAAAACGTAAAGAGTGGACAACCTGCCCTAGCCGGTTTGGCTCAGTGGATGGAGCGTCAGCCTGCGGACTGAAGGGTCCTGGGTTTGATTCTGGTCAAGGGCACATGCCTGGGTTGCAGGCTCAATCCCCAGTAGGGGAAGTGCAGGAGGCAGCCGATCAATATTCTCTCTCATCACTGATGTTTCTAGCTCTCTCTCCCTCTCCCTTCCTCTCGGAAATCAATAAAAATATATTAAAAAAAAAAAAGAGTGGACAACCCTTTTAGTAAGAGAATTGTTCTCAGGTTACTAGCAATCAAGCCAATTTGAGTTTCTACATCAGACAAATAAGGTCAAAGTTGAAGTATATGCTTGTGAGCTTTAAAAAAAATGGAGGGCAGCCTAGCAGGTGTGGCTCAGCGGCTGAGCATTGACCCATGAACCAGGAGGTCACTGTTCCATTCTGGTCGGGCACATGCCTGGGTTGCGGGCTTGATCCCTACTAGGGGGCATGCAGGAGGCCGCTGATAGCTTATTCTCTCTCATCTTTGATGCATCTATCTCTCCCTCTCTCTGAAATCAATAAAAACATATTTTAAAAAATCATTTTAAAAAATGGAGGGCAATACCTACCTACTCCATAGTGGCTTAAAAGATAGGAATTGGAGTCAAAACTGGATCTGAATGCCAGTTTTCTTACGACACTGGGAATATTACTTTACCTCTATGAACTACCTTTAGGATCCTTACAAATAAAATGTCGACAATGAGAAATGTTTATGTGACAGCTTGACTAACAGCCCTCCCAAGACGCCTCTAGTCTACTCCGCAGAACCTGTGGCTGTTACCTTGTGCGGTAAAGGGACCCTAAAGTTGTGAAGGAGGATCTGGAGATGGGGAGACTACCTCAATCATCCATCAGAGCCCACAGTATGAGATGGGGCTATGGAAGCAACAGGTGGATGTAATGCGTGGAGGGTTACAAGTCGAGGAAGTGGGCATTCTCTAGAAGGTGAAAAAGGCCACTGAATGGACTGTCCCTTAGGGCCTCCAGAGGGAACCAGCCCTATCAGGTGATGTGTTTGTACTGTTTAGGTTTGTGGTACTTTGTCACAGCAGCAATAGGAAACTAACAGAGTTGTAAAGCACGAATCCTAGCCCATAAAATGAATTATACTCTAGCACAGTCAAGGGTGCAGTCCCGCCTGCAATCAATTTCACCCAGTCGTAGAAAACAAGACTGCGTGGACTGGGGACAATCTAGCCACCTGTCACCATCATGGGTAAAACAACCCAAGATGTCAACTGCATATTGGAGTGATAATATGTTTATACTAGTACCTACAGGATTATACCATGAGATAATTTATGGTCTAGTAACTCTTGAATCTAAAAATAGCACCTAATAAATGTAACTTGAGACTTAAAAAATTCGGGATGCAGTTCCTGAGATCTGACATCAGCCGGAAGGTCAGAGATTGAACGTCTTGGCTGGGAGGTGGCTGGGGGACAGCTGCAAAACCACAGGGGTGGGTGTGGAAGGCCCTCGACCAATCCCATGATTGATGTGTGAATCATCGCCTTCAGCAGATGGTCCAGGCTCTTCCCAAGCTCCCCCCGACCCGGGACAGGGATTGCACCACCTCCACTGTAGGTGACGCACCCAAGAGGTGAAGCAAGGAGAGGAGCAGGAAGGGCGTTCCCTACTGAGTTCTTGCTACAAAGATGTTCCTTTTCTGGCTATGAGAACAAAAAGCAAGGAGACAATGAGATGATTTTTGCTTACCCACCTGATGTGAGAACCAGCCCGTGTTTCTGCCTCCCCTTTGGCAGTAGAGCAAAGTAATTAAAAGCTTGCTCTGAAGTTGAGCTGGCTGGGTTCAGATCCCAGCACTAGCACTTACAAACTGTGAGACTCTACCCTGTTCCTTAGCTTCTGTGGGTTTCCGTGTTCTTACCTCAGTGAGTTACTGCAGGGACTGAATAAGACACTCCATGTAGAGTGTCTGGTACAGTGCCTGAACCACATGAGGTATGATAGCACACAGCCACAGTCTTTACAGTTATGATGCTGCTGCTGCCTGGTTTCACCGGCATGTATCACTGTCCGGTGCAGCACTTGGGGAAATTTCAATGTGGAGAGAAGTGGACCACAGCTGTCCTAGGACAGGGATGTTACCGCAGTACAAGGGAGGGCCCAGAGCCAGAGACCAGGCTTTCCCAACGAGGTTTTCACTGACTTGCTATGTGACCTTGGACAAGTCTCATGACCTTTCTGAATCCCAGTTTCTTCTTTGGTAAAACCAAAGTCTATTTCCTTAGATTTATTAAATTTAAAAGGGAGTTTTAGCTGGATTTAGCTCTTGTGCCCAGCATGTTGTCTTGAGCAGGGCTGTGTCCCACCCAGACCCAGAGGAATTTCTGCCCTGGAAGGTGGCAATGGAGGAACCGGGGAGGAGACAGGGGCCTGACACAATGGCGCTCCTCTTGTATCCCAAGGTACATGCGTCTGTCAGGTTTCTGTTAAAAATCGGAGCTGGGAGTAGAAGAGGGAGCAGCAAGACATGGCCTGGAATGGGAAGATGAAAGGGAAATCTCTTTGCCTTTCTGCTTCCTGTTTGTACTTTAGCTTGCTCCAATTAGGCTTAAGGTTCTCTACGTTCTATTTTAGGAGTAAAAGGAAAGTCGAAGGCTGAATATTCCTGAGTCCTGAGAGGTCTGAGCGACTGAGCTCCGGTGGGAGCAGCTGAACTGGTGTTAGCACAGTGCAGCCGGCGGCAGTGGCCTCTGTCCTCCTGCCATGTCATCTACCGCTGCCGCTAAAGGAGAAACGCAGAAGCGAAAGGTCGCACTGATTTGGGGGTGGGGAAGAGTGTGTGTGGAGGGGTTGGTTTCTCTGCCCTCTGTAGTGGCTAGTGATGTCCCATATTTTTAACTCTGACCCAGGAGCACCAACAAAGCTGGTAAAAAAGTAAAAACTCGAATGTGAATTAGTATGCACAGAAGAGGACTGTGGACTACCTGATCATGAAAAACTTCGTGCAATTTCACGATATTGGGGTGTCCTTCACAGAGCTTCAGTGCTGTTATTTCTTTCTGAGTATTGGCTTCCATCCTACGAGATGAAACAGTTAGTCTCTACAAACCTCTGCGCCAAGTTTTATGTCAGTGCTGCTCCAAATCTCATTTTGTTTTTATTTACAGTGTATTCAGAATATAAGTGTCAAAGTATGAGAATGAAGTTTCCATGCAAGTAATGAGTCATACTACCCACCAGAACAAGCAATGCATTATTCTGAGAAAAGACTGTTTCTGAGTCAGAAAAGAGCTAATCACACGAAGAAATGGATGCCCTTCTTGCCCGACAATTTGGTAATAAGAATATATGATTATGGAGGTAATAACCAGTTACCAGAACAACCTGCTGGCTCTCAATGCTACCAGTAGGTTGCTAAATAATTATTTTTAAAAAAGTATTTCAAATAAACAACGAATAGGCATGACAACAGCTGCTGAACTCACTAAGCCAGTTTGATTAAATATCACTGCCATGGGAGTTTTCTCACAGGAAAATCAAAAGCCTATCATACTACGATTTATGTCTGAAATGGATTCCTTTATCTGAAAATATCTATTAGAGTTAGAAGCATAACGGATCAATTGAGAAGCCAAATGGCCAAACCTGTGGGTAACAAGCCTTATAATACATTGTTGATTTCCTTTTAAATAAAAGTCTTAATTTATAGAATCCACAGACTAGGATCCTATATAACAAAGAGGTAATATGCAAATTGACCATCATACCCTCGCACAAGATGGCTACTCCCATGTGGTCACAAGATGGCCACCACAAGACGGCCGGCAGGGGAGGGTGATCAGACCAGCAGGGGAGGGCACTTAGGGGTGACCAGGCCTGTAGGGGAGGGCAGGTGGGGGTGACCAGGCCTGTAGGGGAGGGCAG